AATTAACTTAAAATGACTCGAAGACTTAACTACGATAGTTTAAAAAAAAAAAAAGAACCTTTAGAAAAAAATTCAATAATTTTTCAAGATCTTAGGTTAGGTAAAATTTGCTTTTTCACCTATTCTTGAATTCTTGTCCTGACTAATTGTAATGCGTGTGTGGCACATATATAATATAGGCAGATAAATATATAGTCATCTTCAGTAAAAATGTTAAAATACTTCTTTGATGTTGGGTTGGATTTAAAAACTATTCATCCGGGGCCAGCATGTGGCATAGTGGTTAAGGTGCTGGACTGTCACATGGCTGACCATGGTTCAAGTCCTGGACCCGGTGGCTTGAAACTCATGCTGGAAGAGTGTGCATATGTGTCTAAAATCCCAAGGGGAGAATAGAGGAGAAGGGCTAAAATTTGAATTACTAATGTCAGTAAATGTTAAAAGAAAATTTGCAGAGGATAAGCATCAAGCCAGCTAGAACAGAACAGCCTGAGCTTGGCAGGCATAACTCAAGACAAAGTTGTGCAAATGTAAAGTATTCCCTTCTTCAGTATTACATAATGTGTGTACCTACACTTTTGGCTAGGAAACATCTATTGTGGGCAGTTGCTGATTACAGGTTAAGTTCAAGGAGAAGGGGCCAGCAGGTGGTGTGATGGTTGAACTCCGATACAGCCGTCTGCAGTTCAAGTCTCGGATCTGGAGGCTTGTTTTCTCACTTTCTCTCTCTCTCTCTCTGGCAAGCGTGCATGCCTTATAGCAAATTCAAAAATAATAATAGCTCTTTCCACCATCTTTCTGTACAGCAATAAAGGTACACATGAATGTCCTGGCTGATGCCCTCAAGAACATCAACAATGCTGAAAAGAGAGGCACACGCCAGGTTCTTATTAGACATGCTCCAAAGTCATTGTCTGGTTTCTAACTGTGATGATGAAGATGGTTACACTGGCGAATTTGAAATCACTGATGACCACAGAGCTGGAAAAATTGTTGTGAATCTCACTGGCAGGTTAAACAAGTGTGGAGTGATCAGCCCCAGATTGATGCGCAACTCAAAGATCTAGAGAATTGGCAGCATAATCTGCTCGCATCACGTCAGTTTGGTTTCATTGCACTGACCACCTCAGCTGGCACCATGGGCCACAAAGAAGCAAGGCACAAACACTCAGGAGGGAAAATCCTGGGATTCTTTTTCTAGGGAGGTAATACACACATACAGATAAAATGCTTCACTGGAAAAAAATAATAAAATGAATTATTTATTTAACTTCAATTATCATTATTATTATTTAGTTTGGCCAGAGAGAAACGGGGGAGGGGGGAGGAGTAAGAAAGCAAGCTGCCAGGTCCAGGACTCAAACTGTGGTCAGTCATGTGGGAGTCTAGTGCCCTTAACCACCATGCCATCTACAGCCCCATAAACAAATCATTCTTTTTTAAAAAGTTCAAGGAGAAGGCAATTCTCTAGATTAAGGTGCATCTCAATCTATCCATCAAGGAGATGCTACGAACGCTCATATTTGCAATGAAACCAGAATGCAAACATGAAATCCTTACAGCCCATTTTGTTCAGTATGTGTCTGATAAAAGATATTATTATTAAATAATTTAAAAACATAAATCATAAATATGAAAGTTTTAGACACAAAGTCTCACTTCTACTATCAAGGCATGTTCTTTTCTTCAGGTCTCCGATTGCTAGTAAGTTGTTAATAATTAACTTCATGGCCGAGTGATCACGTACACCCCAGGAGCGACCCATACCCCATGAACTCGCTGTGCTCATTGTGACTGGTCTGTGTTCCCTTTCCCCCCTTGCCTGCGTCTCAACAGGACAACTGGGAGAGCCTTTGCTGAAGCCTCAATGTTGATTTCCTTTCTTAGGGAAAAATTTGTTTCCAAAATATAATTTCTGATATAATTATATTATTATTATTAGCATTTTAATATGTTTTCATCATTTTCAGATATGACTAGTTATTTACCACTTTCTTTCTTAGGAAAAGTAACATATTTTATTGTTATTTAATCCCTTAGACAAGTGGTTTTTATTTTATTTTTTCTAGAGACATTTTTGCTATAGCATGCATGCACTCGACAGAGAGATACAGAGAGAGAAAGAGAGAGAAAGAAATCACCACCACCACCCTCCTAGTGAGGATAGGCAACTGCAATCCCTTCTCCTCTATTCTCTCCTTGGGATTTTAGACACACATGCACATGTACCCAGTATGAGTTTCAAGCCACCGGGTCCAGGACTTGAACCATGGTCAGCCATGTGGCAGTCCAGCACCTTAACCACTATGTCACATGCTGGCCCCGGATGAGTGGTTTTTAAATCCAGGATCCTGAAATACTGTCTAATAGCATCTGATAAAGTTCTTAAAACATAATAAAATGTTTGATAGGTTTTTGATGGAATAATGTAAATATTAATTTTTAAAGTTTTAAAAGTGTTGAGACCTGCAAATAGCATAATGGTTACATCCATGTAGTCGACCATGGTTGAGTTCTGGACTTGGTGTCTTAAAACTCATGCTGGGCACGTGTACACGCCCACAATCCCAAGAGGAGAATGGAGGTGAGGGGATTATGGAGTGACCATTTCCCTGGGGTGGTGATTTCTCACTTTCTCTCTGTGTCTCTGTCTCTTCTCTATCTCTCTGGTGAGTGCATATGCCCTATAGCAAAAAATCTCTCATAAGAAGTTTTATTTTTTTATTTAATTTCTGAGTGAGAGAAATAGAGACAGAGAGATAGCACCTCCAACAGGGTCTTGACACCACGATCCACCCTCATCCTTAGCTAGCCCTGGACCATGGCTGCTGGAGTACTCAGGGAGGTCTTCAGACCTAAATTTGGAACCTTCCCAAGTAGGTCAGCCTCTCAGAGTGTTGTGTTTTATGGCTGCCTTACCATCTGGCCCAGTAAATGTTCATTTTTGATACTGTTTTAAAAACTACATTTTGGGCCAACCGGTAGCCTGGTGGCTAAGGCAACTGGATTCCACATGGCCGACCATTCAGTTCGAGTCCTAGGTCCGGTGGCTTGGAAAACCATGCCAGGAGTGTATGCACATGTGCCCAAACTTCTGAAAGGAGAGAGAAGTAGAGGAGAAGGGCTTGCGACATGACCATGCTCCATGGGGTGACTTTCTTGCTTTCCATCTCTCTCTAAATCTGTCTGTCTCTCTGGCTAGTACATGCACTCTCTGACAATTTTTTTTTAAATTACATTTTATAGTCCCAGGGTTTAATATCCAAAGATATGTCAGGGAATCAATCAAATTACTAAAATAATATTATGGGAGAGACCTGAGGGTTTATCATTCATGTAATGAAAGTCTTTCAATGTCAAGAACCAAATGCCAACATTTTCTTTCTTGAATACCTAGTGATATGATGTTCTGTCATTTATTCTAAAGAGAAATGGTTTCTCCTTTTAAATCATGGTGTTATCTAAATCTCCTGGACAATCTAAAAGTTGGACTTCAAAAATTTTTTTATTTTAGACAGGGTCTTGCAAAGTTGCAATTCTCCTAGCTTAGCCTCCCAAATGACTGAAACGTCAGGCCAATGCCACCAAACCTGGCTTTAACAACTGGGCTTTTGGGACCAGCAGTTCGCATAATGGTTATGTCACTGGACTCCCATGTAGTCGATTGTGGTTCGAGTCCTGGACCCAGTGGCTTAAACTCATGCTGGGCACGTGTGCGTGTGTGCCCAAGATCCCGAGAGGAGAATAGAGGAGAAGGGACTGTGGCATGGCCATTCTCCCTGGGGGGTGATTTCTTGTTTTCTGTCTCTCTGTCTCTCTCTGTCTTTCTGGTGAGAGCACACACCCTATAGCAAAAACCTCTCAAAACAAACAAACAAACAAAAAACAAACAACAAAAAAAATCTGGGCTTTTTATTTCAATTCAGGATGAAGTGGACTTAGCTATGTACATAGTGAGAAGTGCCCCAAATAAGGTTAGTCTTATTATCCCTGCTACGGTTGATTATCGATTTATCAGCTCCTCAGAATTTCACATAAATTTCAAAGAGGTATGCTCGGCAGCTAATGAAGACAGCCTTCTTTTCAACTTGTGGTTGAGCGGACATTGACAAAGCACATATGCTATGAAGCCTGTGTATCAGACAGGATGGTGCTTCGCAAAAAACAAATGAACTGGAAAAAATGTACAAACTCCTCCGAAATATTTTCTTTCTTACCGAAGATATTAACTGGGGATGGTTCTGAGCAGTTTTCTCAAGTACTGTCTGTTAGGAGCTCTTCAGTTGCTGCGCTCCCGCCCTTAGCCACCTGCAACTGTTTAGTCCCACCTGGAGTTTTCTCCTGACCTCAGGGTCTGAACCAACGTTCTGTCCTGGTGGAATTTTTAGAAGCCTTAGAATAGTAGCTTATCTGCTCAGTATCAAGACCGTCCAATCTGCTGATCCTGCCCTGATAATATAACCTAGTTTCAGGCACTAAGATGTTATCTGGTTATTTGTAACTAAGCCCCTATCTTGTAAAATAGGTCCTGGATTCATCCATTGTGAGCCACAATCCTGCCTTGGGACCCTACTTTCTATCCCACTCAGTACACTACTCCTCTATCGTTCTGTGGGTTTGGAGCCCTAGCTTTGAACTTCAGACGCACAAGTGTGTCCCCAGTACTTGCCCCTGAGAGCTGTGGGTAGGCTTCCTCACGTCCGATTCCTACTGGTTGCCTACTGTCAGAGTCCCCTGGGCCAGGTCCTACGCTCAATATGACTGGAGTCAAGGCTTACCCATGGTCAGTTTCTTTCTCCATCACTGGCAGGACTGCTGGAACTCGAGTCCCAGTTATCTACAGACTGACCCACCTCAGTGTCCAGCTCTAATTCTAATAGTGACTCAAACAATACCTTTATTTTTAAATATCCCTATTCAAGCCAGCAAACAATATATTTAAAATTCCCTCATGAAATATACATCAGCTGCTCAAAATGCCAAAAGAGAACTCCCCATACCTGTCTGAGTGAATCCTGATTTGTATCCATTAGTTGTCCCATTTTCTGGGGTCACAGTTGATGACACTGAAGAGTTTGCTTTAACAGAGTGGCAAGGAGCAGAGGATTGTCGGCTTCTACATTCTGGAAAGGAGTAAAAATCACATTATACAAACAGACCAATGTTCTGTTAAAACAGGTGATGGGGGACCAGCAGATGGCATAATGGTTATATTGCTGGACTTCCATGTAGTCAACAGCGGTTTGAGTCCTAGATCCAGTGACTTAAAATTCACACCGGGTGCATGTGCATGTGTGCCCCAAATCCCAAGAGTTGAATGGAGGGCAAGGGATTGCAGTGTGGCCACTCTTCCTGGGGGGGTGATTTCTCACCTTCTGTCTCTGTGTCTCTCCAGTGCATGCTCACTCCCTATGGCAAAAATCTCTCTTAAAACACACACACACACACACACACACACACACACACACACACACACAAATGGGTGATGGGGATCCAGCCCACGGAGTGGTAGGTAAGGTGGCCAACCCCTGGTTCAAGTCCCAAACCTGTGTGAGAAACACACACATGCACGTGTGCGTGTGCCCAAAATCCTGAAAGGAAGGAGAAGTAAAGGAGAGGGATTTCAGTGTGACCATTCCCCATAGGGGTTGCTTTCCCATTCCTCCTGTCTCCTACTCCCTGCTCCAACTCTCTCCAGCAAGCATACATACTCTCTGGCAAAATTAGAAAACAAAATCAAAAAACAGGTGATGGGGACATGATCCATAAAACCGCTAAAATAAATTGCCATTCCATAAGTGGCAGTCAGTCACTTTCCTTATCAGAGACCCCCTTTCCCTAATCCCGACTCCAGCTGAATGTTCAGGTTTGGGGATACAGTACTTTGTAGAGCCAGATGTTAAGTTTGGAGGCAAAGAAATGGTTACAATGAACAGTAACAATGATTACCAAGAGTAACAATGGCTACTGCTCATTGTAACCATTTTTTTGTTCTTTATAACCATTCTTTGTTCCCCACAGACCAGTGCCCAGGGAAAAATACTCATAACCAATGTAATCATGCTAGTTTTATGGGTAAAACAGAGGCTAACATATAGAAAATCTATAAAAGCCCAATAAACTTTTCAAATACCAGCCCAGAACTGATTTAAGTATAGAACTATAAACTGGAGTCTGTGTAAGCAGCTTTCAACTTTCTCTTCTCAATCTTAAATGGTGTACAAAATCAGAAAAAAAAGAACAATTATAGGCAGGAGAGAAAAATTAGAAATGCTCAAATTCATATGCTTCAATTCTTACTAAAGGAAATAGACAAAATTCAAGCTGATGCCTGATCATGCAATACTCAGTTGATATTTGGGCTCTGGTATATTTTAATGGAGCTTTGTATGATTCAGGTTGATAGCAAATATCAGAACAGTCTGTGGGACTGTAACACCCAACCAAGTGATACTATATTAGTCTCAAAATGTAACATGTAGAAAAAGAATAGAAATTACTGCATGTGACAAAGTTAATTATAGAGGATCCTTTAGAGAGTTGTCAGGTTTATCGGGTACTAAGAGTTGGAGGCAGTTTTCTACAACTTGTGTACTTCTTTGTATACTTCTTCTGTGAAGAGGTATTATACAAAAGGACTTCAAAAAGTTTGTGGAAAATGGACACTCAAACCCCAAATCCTAACAGGATGGAGAAATGAATGAGAAAGGATTATGGCATGAACACACTGCACTGAGGGGTGCTTTGTCTCTCTCTCTCTCTGGTGACTGTATACACCCTCTAGAAATAATAACAATAATAATACAACTAAGGAATAAAACAGATTTTTTTGTGAGAGGTTTTTGCTATAGGGTGCGTGCACTTGCCAGAAAGAGAGAAAGAGAGACAAAAAGCAAGAAATTATCTCCCAGGAGGGATGGCCACACCGCAATCCCTTCTCCTCCATTCTCCTCTCGGGATCTTGGGCACGCACACACTTGCCTGGTGTGAGTTTAAGTCACTGGGTCTGGGACTTGAACTGTGGTCGACTACATTGGAATTCAGCGACATAGCCATTATGCCAACTGCTGGTCCCAAAGCAGACATATTTTATACATCAAAACAAAAGTTTAAAAAGTTTAATTTAGAAAATAAATTAACTTATAAAGCTAGAGGAACTATAATGTACTGGCTTATGATTCAGAGGTCATAGTCTTTACATTTTGATGATACCTAACTTCGAACAAGTAGCCGTTCCTAAGGAATTATATAATGCTACTTTAAGGGCAACCCAGAGAAATTAAGATAAAAGACTGAAGATAAATCTGCAATTTCTGCAGTTGTAATGTGAATTTGCATGGTCAGGCAAAAATCTTGTGTAGACAACAGAAAGAAACATAAAGACAGTTATTAAATGGGGGGGTCTCAGCATCTAAGGAACTGCTAAACAGAATTAGGATGGGATATTCTACTCCATTAGAACAGCGGATACAACATATGACAATTTCTATCGAATATATGAAGATGTAAAGTTTCAGCTGGAGTCATTTCTACAAATAAGTTCTAATTTAAAAGAAGCAGAACTTTGTCAATTTAATAGTGCATTTTCCCAGATATTGTGAAGAGAGCATTGTTTATTCTAAAGCTGCTTAGGTCTAATTAAAATAGAACAATACAGACAGTTGAGAATTACCAAAAGAATTTAAAAAGTAAAAACAGCACCACGCCAAGGAATTTGAAACTTTGATATCTTCTCTAAATGACAAAAGAGCAAGAAAAGGTCCTTTTTCCCCTTATAAAAACTGTCCTCTCTTTTCAAGAGACCAATACAGAGATATGCACCTTCCTAAACTTATAGTCTGTGTTAGAAACCATAAGACACAGGCCGAGCCACAGTGGCAAGAGCTGTGAAGACACTGCTCTGCACTGCACTCTGTCACACACCACATGTGAGACCTGGGTTGATTCTGGGTCAGTCTAAAGGCTGGCCCAGGGGTGTGTATGCCTGTAATGCCAGCAACTGGGGTAAAGTGAAGCAGGAAGATCAGGGCCCCAGATTGGCCTGGGTAATGTAGCAAGGAACTGTCTGAAAAAAGAGAGAGAGAGAAAGAAAAAGAGAGAGCAAGCGAGCCAGGCATGTTGGCACGTGCCTGTAATGCTATGTCAGAAACATATCAAGACATTGTCTTAAAAAGGCGGAGGGGTGGGACCAGCAGTTAGCGTAATGGGTATGTCGCTGGACTCCCATGTAGTTGACCGCCGTTTGAGTCCTGGACCCGGCGGCTTAAACTCATGCTGGGCGCATGTGCATGCGTGCCCAAGATCCCAAGAGGAGAATGGAGGAGAAGGGATTGCAGCGTGGCCATCCCCCCTGGGGGGTGATTTCTCGCTTTCTGTCTCTCTCTGTCTTTCTGGAGAGTGCATGTGCCCTATAGCAAAAACCTCTCTGAAAGAAAAAAAATGCGGGGGGGGGGGGGCAATGGGTGGTATGGTGGTTAAGGTACTGGTCCCCTCTTGGCCAACACCTCAGTTCAAGTCCTGAATGCAATGGCTTGAAAAACACACTGAGCACCTGTGTGTGTGTGTGTGCACAAAATCCCAAGAGGAGAATGGAGGAGAAGGAATTATAGTGTGGCCAACCCCACGGGGAGGTGATTTCTCACTATCCTTCTGTTTCTGTCTGTCTTAGTCTCCCTCTGGAGAGCACACACATCCTATAAAAAATTAAATCAAAAGTAAGGAGCATGTCAAATAACCTATCAGAGGCTTTCTTTCTTTCTTTCTTTCTTTCTTTCAGGAGATTTTTGCTATAGAGAGTGTGCGTTCATGGGAGAGGCAAAGAGAGACAGATAGATAGAAAGTGAGAAATCACCTCTCCACCCCCCCCGCCCCCAGGGAAGATAGTCATTCCACAATCCCTTCTCCATTCTCCTCTCAGAATCTGGGCATCCACACACACATGCCCAGCATGTTTTAAGCCTCTGGGTCTGAGACTCGAACCGAGGTTGACTACTTGGGAGTCCAGCAACGTAACAATTATGCCATCTGCTGATACCCCCAGTGTCAGCCAGCCCAGATTACAGGCACTTGCACACACTCAGCACGCTCAGGCAAGTCCCAGGAGGTGAGCTCAGGACCTTTCCTACGTGGGTCCAGTTGCATTACTGCTGCACCACCGTCTGGCCCCAGCTTTAAATTTTTAGATGGCCTCCTACACTTGAGATATTTATCTCTGTCACACCTGACCTTTGAGCCCTATATTGGTCACTTGCCACCATCATAAAATCTTCACTCTGCTCCCCCCACCCCTGTGTTGAATACCTTTCCAGCAGATGAGAGGTCCCTTTGACAGTACACCCTGGGAGCTTCTGACTAGGTAGTACTTTAAGTGCTTCTGCTTCTTTGGCTGGGTGGTGAGCTTCAAGTTGATGTGGTTGGAAAATTCCGTGAAATACCGAAATCCTCTTTCTCCACAACCAATACAGTTTCCAGAAAACCCTGAAATGAAGAAAACCAATGTTACTGGGGGCCTTGTAAATTAATACAATACTTTTATGTAGAAAAAGCATAGACAGGGCCGGCAGTGGTGTGGTGATTAAGGACTCTAGACTCCCACATAGCCAACCATGGTTTGAGTCTCGGACCTGGCGGCTTGTTTTCTCACTTTCTGTCTCTCTCTCTCTCTCAATCTGTCCCTCTCTGATCAAATTAAAATAAATAAATAAAGTTAAATGAAATAATTCTTAAAAAAAGAAAGGAAAAGCATAGATATATTCACACTCTTTGACCAATGTTAAGGAAAAATTCAAAGATAAAAGAAGGCACACAATTTTTTTTAGCAGAGTTGTTTTATAATAATGAATACTGTCAATAATTTAAATGCTGGTCTAAATGAATAATAGTTAAGGAAACAGAGCTATATCATGGAATAGAGTGGTAGAGTTTATATGATACACACAATAAGAAGAAAAATATAGGTCCAGAGAGGTTCGTTATTTCTCTGCCACGTGTTTCCCTCTTGCAGAACCGGCCTATGCTGGCTCTGGTTCTCTATCCTGCCCACTACATGAACGGCTTCTAGGGACATCGCTGGTGAGACCGGGGCCCAATCTGACTCTCCTGGAATTTTGAAATAAAATTTAAAAAGTCAGTCAGATGGTAGTAGACCCTGAATTTCTAAGGCTTTGTAACACTGGAACTTGAGGGGGCCAGCAGGTGGCGTTGTGGGTGGGCTGCTGTACTCCCAGGGGACTGCGCTTTGTGTCCTGGACCTGGCAGCTTGCCTTTTCACTTTATTTCTCTTCTGTAGTGAGTGCGCATGTGCTATAGCAAATTAAAAATAATAAATATGGGCCAGCAGGTAGCATGATGGTTGAGGGCTGGACTCCCACGTGGCCGGCTATGGTTCAAATCCTGGACCTGGAAGCTTGCTTTCTCACTTTCCCCTTTTTCCCTCTTGCTCTCTATGTGTCTCTCTGGTCAAATTGAAATAAATGAATTAATAAGTCAAAATAAATGAATAATTATTTTTAAAATATTTTTTTCTAAATAATTAAATAAATAATTCTTTTTAAAAAAAATTGGAAGCTGCGTTGGGGCTTATGTCAGCCGCATGTAAGCTGGGCTGCAGGAGAGAATGAACTGAAACCATGAAGAGGAAGCTGGTCTTTGGAGGAGAGCTGAGTGTGGACAGAGAGGGGCAACTCAGGGCATTGTCAATTTTCCACTTTCCATGAGATCCCATTATGCTCCCTGAGATTCCATGAGACTCCTGTATCCTCTATATTCAACCACTCCTTTACGTAGAAAGTAAATAAATAAAACAAGAACAAACTTACTTTTCTCTTTGATCTAACTTCCAAACAATTCCTCACCCAGATTAACCAAACAAAATGAACCTGTCAGTGACATGGCCGAAGCAGGGGGTTTGGAAAGAAGATGAAATGGAGAAGGCTGGGAGGGTAAAAAGTCATGCTTTGCTTTATCAAAAATCCACTTCTCCAGTCCCCTTAACACAGAGAAGAAATGGCAGATACTAAGACAGCGAGCTCCTCTGGTCTTGTCTAAAAAGGGCACAAGACATTTTCTGTCGTAGAGGTGAACACGACAAAAAAAAGTTGTAAGAGGGACCAGCGATGGCAAAATGGTTACATTGCTGGGCTCCCACTTAGTTGACATCGGTTCAAGTCTCGGACCTGGTGGCTTGAAACTCACACTGAGAGCATGTGTGTGCCCAAGACCCTGAGAGGAGAATGGAGGAGAGGGGATTGCGGCATGATCATCTCCCTAGGGGGTGATTTCTTGCTTTCTGTCTCGCACATGGCCAACCACACTTCAAGTCCTGGACCTGGCAGCTTGCTTTCTCGCTTTCCATTTCTCTCTCTGGTCAATTTAAAAAAATAATATTAACAAATGGAAATAAATAAATAAATAAATAATTCTTTTAAAAAAAATTAAAAAAGAGGGACCAGCAGTTAGCGTAATGGCTATGTCACTGGACTCCCACGGTTTGCATCCCGGACCTGGTGGCTTAAACTCACACCAGGTGCGTGTGTGTGCGTGCCCAAGATCCTGAGAGGAGAACAGAGGAGAAGGGACTGCGGCATGGCCATCCCCCCTGGGGGGGGGATTTCTCACTTTCTGTCTCTCTGTTTCTCTCTGTCTGTCTGGCGAGCACACATGCCCTATAGAAAAAAAACCTCCAAAAAAAAAAAAAAAAAAAAAGAAAGAGCATTCCCCTATTGTACAAAGACATCATCTCTATACAAATAACCAACAGGAAATAAAGTTACTGATGAAATGATTCACTCTCTTCAAGTCCTGTGGAAAATCCACCTGTTACATAATTGACAAAAGGCCAATTAAGATTAAACATAGAAAATATCACAACATCCTGATGTCAAAATGCTGACACTCTGGCTGGCCCCACAGTGCACCAGTTAAGCACTGGGCATGGGAAACCAGATCCTGTAAGGCCAGCGATGGTTTGAATCCCAGTCCTGGTAGCTTGAAAAACATGCCAGACACATATGGGTGCATGGTCAAAATCCTGACAAGATGGAGCAGAAGAGAAAGGATTGCAACATGATACACTACACTAGGGGTGTGCTTTTTCTCTTTCTCTCTGGTGGGTTCCTGGGCCCCCTGGTCATTAAAAAAAAAAATGCTGGGCCAGGAGGTGGCTGGATCCCACAATGCCAACTGCGCCATTCGAGTCCTAAAACAACGGCTTGAACATCACAGCAGTAGGATCAGCAAATGGTGTAATAGTTATGCCACTTCCACGTAGTTGACTGTGGTTCAAGTCCCAGACCTGGCAGCTTAAAGCTCATGATAGGTGCATGTGCGTGCATGTCTAAGATCCTGAGGGGAGAATGGAGGAGAAGGGATTGAGGTGTGGCTCTCTGCCCTGGGGGAGTGATTTCTTGCTTTCTGTCTCTCTGTCTCTCACGCAAGCAAATGCGCTCTATAGCAAAAATCTCACTTAAAAAAAATAGAAAAGACAGAAAGAAAAACACACCAGTGCATGTGCATGTATGCCCCAAATCCCAGGAGTGAGAAATGGAGACAGGACCATGGCATGACCATCTCTCACAGAGAGCGCTTTCTCATTTTCCCTCTCTGTCTCTCTCCAGTGAGTGCCCTCTGGCAAATTAAAAAAAAAAATTCTGACACTCAATTTAAAACATTTATAAATGAGCAGTCCAATTTATTAGTATTCACTCAAACATTATTTATTGAGAAACAGTGGTAAGCAAGAGATAGTCATTGTTACAACCTCTGATTGACTACAAAGAATTAGTAGTTTGCTATTGTCACTTTATAGAAATATAAAAATTACTATAATTGTATAAATTACTTAGAACACATTCATAGATGAACTGTATTTGAGAGCGTTTGGCCACTTGTCCAAGCCCTTGGAGCCGTAGATCAAAAAAACGAACGCCAATGGCTGCCTAGTTCGCCAAGTTCCTAAAGTCATTTATCCATCCAACAAACAAATCCTTGTTTTCTACTATGTGTTAGGTATTGTTTCAGGTATAGGTTCTGACGTGGTCATTATGCCTTCGTGGAAAATTGCTTGACCTCTGCGGCAGACCTACCACACCCAAAACATAGGGAAAAGCTATAAGGACCTTTCAGCCAAAATAATGAAGGACAGTGTCGAAAAAATGAGGCTTATCTGGTTTGTACAAGCAGTTCAGAAAAGATTAGTGGGGGAATTAGAATTGTCAAGCTATTAAGGTTGAGTTTTCTCTTTTCCTCTGTCCAGTCTCTGAAGTGACAAACAGGACTGTGAAAAGGAAGAGAAAGCAATAGGACTGGAGAGTGTGCAAAGAAGAGAACCTTCACACTAATGGCAACATGTCGTTAACAATATCAAAGAGTAAGAATCCGAGTCCATTTTAAACCTCTCTATGGTTACGGCATTGGCCTTAGCTCAAGAGACTATCTACTCAAAGTTCTTGCTCTCGTCAGTAACAAAAATAACACTTCTTACAGTCAAATGATCTTCCTAGTTTTTCTGGCAGTCAAATCTTTCAATTGCACAGTAGATTTGAGACACAATGCCTGTCTTCTGGGTCAGTATTTTTTTAAATCAACTCCCCCACAGTCTTTGAAATGTGTATAATTTATATAAAAACATAGACAGATTGATATTGGAGTCCATTGGGGATTCTAAAATAACTGAAGCTTAAAAATATCTCTCACAGTATCATCATGTATACTAAAAGCAACCATCGTAACTAAGAAATGTTGGATGGATCAGTCTTTGGACCATAGACTATTACTGAACATGAAAAAAATCTCAACAATGTGCTTATCTAGGAAAAATCTACCAGCTTGCTCTTTTCTATGCCCGCAGCCATGCCGTCTAAGGGCCCTCTGCAGTCTGTGCAGGTCTTCAGGCGCGAGATGACGGCCACAGCCATGGGGCACTGCAAACGGGGCAAGGCCTTATCAAGGTGAACAGGCAGCTTCTGGAAATGTTCGAGCTGCGCATGCTGCAATATAAGCTACTGGAACCTGTTCTGCTCCTGGGCAAGGAGTAGTTTGCTGGTGTGGACATCTGTGTCTGTATAAAGGGTGGTGGCCACGTGGCCCAGATTTATGCTATCCGCCAGTCCATCTCCAAACTCCTGGTGGCCTATTACCAGAAATATGTGGGTGAGGCTTCCAAGGAGATCAAAGACATTTTCATCCACTATGACCAGACCCTGCTGGTAGCTGACCCCCATCACTGCAAATCCAAAAAGTTTGGAGGCCCTGGTGCCCGTGCTTGCTACCAGAAATCCTATTGATAAGCCCATTGCAACAATTGAGGTTCATCTTTATAATAAACAATGACTGTGGGGTTTTAAGGTTTGAAAAAGAAAAGAAAAAAGAAAAATCTACCAGATTGTTGCACTACAGTTTCATGTAGAGAAGTAACTAGTGAAAAAGTACATTCATTTACAAGACTAGAGAAAGTAAAAAATGTTCCAAGCCTAGATCAGTATTCAATAAATACAACAGCAGAGTAACTACCATTTAAAGAGCAAGTACTGGGACCAGCAGATAGTAAAGCAGTTATGTCACTGGACTCCCACATGACTGATCGTCGTTCGAGTCCCAGACCTGGTGGCTTCAAAATTGTGCCAGGCACGTGTGCATGTGTGCCCAAGATACTCGGAGAAAAATGGAGGAGAAAGGATTGCTGTATGGCCATCCTTCCGGGGAGTGTGTGTGTGTGTGTGTGTGTGGCTTCTCAGTTTCCTTGTCACTGTCTCTGTCTCTCTCTGATGAGTGGTGAGCAACCTAAGGCAAAAACCTCTACAAAATAATTAAAAAATAAAATAAAGAGCAAGTACTATCTTCTAGGCACTGTGCTGAATGGGTGCTTTATAAACATAATCTCTTCTGATCTTTTTCATTTTCTTTTAAATTCACCAGAGAATGTGAAAAATCCCATAGAGGATGGTCAAGCCACAATCCCTTCTCCTCTAGTTGTCCCTCCTTTAAGTATTTTGGGCACACATCCATGCACACCATTATGTTTTTCAATCTGTCAGGTTTAGGACTCAAACTGTGCAGTCATCCATGTGGGACTTAACTACCTTAACAACTGGCTGCTCCATCTCATCTGATTTTTAAAAAAGAATTATTAAATTAAATTAAATTAATTAATTAATTAATTAACTTTTTATTTATTTTAATTTGAACAGAGGAGGAGGAGTAGGAGGAGAGAGAGAGAGAGAGAGAGAGAGAGAGAGAGAAGGAAAGTAAGAAAGCAAGCTGCCAGGTCTGGGACTCAAACCACAGTCGACCGTGTGGGAGTCCAGTGCCCTTACCCACCACACTATCTGCCAGCCCCCATCTCATCTGATCTTTATAACTCGACAAGGTAAGCATTACTGGCACCATTATATACATGAGGAATCTAGGACTTCAACTTCTTGAACTACTTGCCTAAATTCAAGTAGTAAGTAGAAAATCTTGGATTTAAACATACTTCTGATCCCAAAGCCTATGGTCTTTAATCTCATATTCCTGATTACAGAGAATTAAGAAGTCTGATACCATTTTCTGTCTTTTCCATGATGCATTCAAATAGATACCTCTAGTCACAAAGAATCACTGAACAACAATAACCAAAGCATTATGTAGGAGACCAGGAAGTGGCATGGAGATTAAGGCAATGGATCTCATATAGCCAGCTGAGTGGTTCAATTCCTGGACCCAGTGGCTTGAAAATCATGACGGGCACATGTGCATGCTTGCCCACAATTCTGAGAGGAGAATGGAGGAGGAGATGATGGTGTGTCCATCTCTCTAGGGGGTAATTTCTCTCATGTGCATGTGCAAGTGAGTACATGCACCCCAGTCCCCCCGCCCCCCCCAAAAAAAAGCATTCACAGAGATTGTCTGCAATCAGAACCTTTTCAGAACTATTTCATTAGAAGAAACTATGATATTCTAAAAGTTTTCTACATTTGTTCTACCGTAGACTGCTTGGTTGTAAACCGTGTGAAGAAAAGAGTGAATCTTAATGCTCCATATATCATATTTTAACATGATCATTGAATTTTTTTTTTTGGAGAGGTTTTTGCTATAGGGTGCATGCACTCACCAAAAATATGGAGAGAGACGGAGAGATAGAACGTGAGAAATCACCCCCCAAGGGGGATGGCCACGCCACAATCCCTTCTCCTCCATTCTCCTCTCAGGATCTTGGGCACTCACGCACATGAGCCCAGCCCAAGTTTAAGCCACTGGATCCGGGCCTTGAACCGCAGTCAGCTACATGGGAGTCTAGCGACATAGCCATTACGCTAACTGCTGGTCCTGATCGCTGAATATTTTTAAATAAATATAGCTGCACAAATGAATGAACTCATAAATAGTTGGGCCTTCCTTGCTAATTCAGTCCAATAGAAGAGATTTACCAGTAGAGTTCTTTTTTTTTTTTTTTTTTTTAACAGAGAGTACATGAGCTTGCCATAGAGAAACAAAGAGAGAGAGAGAGAGAGAGAAAGCACTCCCTAATAGAGCACTGTCATACCTCAATCCCTTCTCCTCCATTTCTCCATCACATTGGTATTCTAGGTACACACACACACACACACACACACACACACACACCTGGCATGGTTTTCAAACCATGAGGGACAGGTTCCAACTGTGGTTGGTCACATTGGACCTGGTTCCCTTAACCACTAGGCCATGGGGTTATTATAGGAATAATGGGTGGTATGGAAAAAGTACAAATAACTTACAAAGGGGATAATCTATAAGTTAATAATTGAGAGTTGACTTGATATCGTGTCCAGATCAAAGATACTATAGAAAGTGAATTCTAGTTTGTTTTATAAAATATTAAGTTCTGACAAATTGCATGCTATCCTTTAAGATCTGTTCAAAAAGAGTCATTTTGATCAGCTCTGTGGTATAGCAGTAATACTCTGCTCAGAGAAGCCAGATCCACATGGTGACCAGCGATTTGAACTTCCAGCCCAGTGAGTCTGAAACATACCAGACACATACATAACTGCCCAAGATGCAACAAGTTGGAGGACTGAAGGAAGGGGATCTCAGAGGGGCAGACCCAGGGGAAGGTATTCCTCTCTTTCTCTCTTTCTCACTTTCACATGTGCATGCATAAACAGTCCATCATGAACAGAGGAAAGAAAAATTTTAAGTCTTAATTAAGGCAAATGTTTTGAGAATGAAAAAAAAACCATGAAAATTAGTTTTAAGAAGTTATTTTTATTTTTAAGAATTTTTTTTGAGAGGTTTTTGCTATAGGGTGTGTGCACTCACCAGAAAGACAGAGAAAGAGAGACAAAAAGTGAGATAGCACCTCCCTAGGGGGGGGATGGCCACACTGCAATCCCTTCTCTTCCATTCTCCTATTGGGATCTTGAGCACGCATTCACACAGGCCCGGCGTGAGTTTAAACCACCGGGTCCTGGACTTGAATTGTGGTCAACTACATGGGAGTCCAGTGACACAGCCATTATGCCAACTGCTGGTCCCTATTTTTTAAAATTTATTCATTCATTTTATTTTAATTTGACCAGAGAGAGACACAGACAGAGGGAGAGAGGAAGAGAAAGAGGAAAAGTGAGAAAGCAAGCCACCATGTCCAGGACTCGAACCATGGTCAGCCATGTAGGTGTGTCCAGCGCCTTAACCACCACGCCACCTGCTGGTCCCCAACTGGTCCCTATTTTTAAGAAGTTTTAAGAAGTTATTCTATTATGAGACATATTCAAGTCTCATACTGGAACTAAACTATATAATCCACAATTAATCCTGTGATTTTTTTTAAACTCTTTGATTAAATAAACATATATTTTAACTGCCTCATCTTAGAAGAAATTTCATAGGTATGAAATACTCACCTAAAAGTGCATTTTTTCCGTGATCATCTGGTAGAAATCTCTTGTCTACAGCGCAGACTAGGATGTGCTCAGGAAGGTTGGGAGATTTGGCCCCCACCAAGAGGAACCCAGCTGGGATATCGATTTGTTCCATGCACAGTGATACCAAACGCAAATCCTTGCCTGCTTGACAAAAACCTAAACAGGTAAAAAGGACACAGTGAAATGTTTAGTGAGCTTATCTCTCCCAATCACCACCCATCTGGCACGTAGATTTATCTGTGGAAATTGTTATTAAAGACTGAAATCAAAGTCCATGTACTCCAGACAGAAGACACATCCATCGTTTGTACCCCTCTGAAACAGAGCTGAAAAAAACACTAAGAGCAGATATTTTCATCTGCTTTGTCCAAATTGACAATTTTATATTTTTGGGCCCACAAGGAGAGTGATATTAAAACCACAGCAAACTGAACAGACCATGCATAGGTGGTCAGAGAAGTCATGACATATTTTCCTTTGTTTTCCTATGTAAAAATGCATCATGACTTTTCCGATGGCCCAATAATTTTTACGTGCACATGACAAAGTAATTTTTACTTTCAAAACAAACTCACCTGTCTGATGGGGATAAACCTAGAAGAGAGATGCTCTCCATTTTACAGAACAAGGGGCTCAAGTTCTCTTGAGTTTGGTGACTCATAACTGAACAGGCCAGAATTAGAACTTGGAACTGTTAGGTCATTTACTTTTGCTCTTTTTGTCTTTAAGTTTATTTACTTCTTTCATGAGAGAGAAAGAGCAGATAGACACCTCCAACAGGGTCTTCACACCAGGATCCACCCGCAGCCTCAGTCAGATCATGCACAAGGAGGCCCCAGAACGCAAAACCAAGGCCTTCCCACGTGTGTCCCGTTGGGCTGCTGCTACATCACAATTGGTGGCTCCTATTAGATCATTCTCACAAGATAGGACATGACACCACAAAATCACTTACATAACCTCTTTTTTTTAGAGAGGTTTTTTTTTTTTTTTTTGCTATAGGGCACATACGCTTGCCAAAAAGACAGAGACAGACAGAAAGACAGAAAGCGAGAAATCACCCCCCAGGGGGGATGGCCACACCACAATCCCTTCTCCTCCATTCTCCTCTTGGGATTTTGGGCACACACACACATGCACCCAGCGTGAGTTTAAGCCGCTGGGTCCAGGACTTGAACCGCAGTTGACTACATGGGAGTCCAGCGACATAGCCATCATGCTAACTGCTGGTCTCCATAACCTTTTTGTGTACCATAATGTATACACTACATTTAGTAAGCAAGTACTGTAACAGATACTATACCAGGACTGGGGATATATAACCAAACAAAATATATCTTTCTCTAAGGACTCACATTACTATAGTTGATCAGAGGAATGCATAAGGAACCAATAACCACAGAGAGACTATTATAGAGGATAACTTCTGTTCTGCTGCACATCTTCTAGGAAATGGTCCTCTCTGTACTCTAGTCATGCAGGCCCTTGAAGAGTTGTGATATTCCAGTATGATGTGAAGCTGGTATCTGGTCCAAATAGGGTCATTTTAATACTCCACCCTCTACCAATGGGTTCAGGGATAGGGACCTGACAGAAACTACACCCATCAAATATTTTCCCAAGGAATTCAGAACACAGAGCTAGGGTGAGCATGGCTTAGTGTGCTCTGTAGCAGCCTCTTCTATTTCTTGACCTGTGAGAGAAGTCTGCCAGCAAAGGCATGAGGCTGAGGAACACAACTGGCAGGGTTGGTCTCCCTAATGCCCAGCAGCTTCTGTTTTTCCCGTGGTTTGGTCATGAAACCTTTTGCTTCAGAATTCTTCTAGTAATTTCTTTATTTTACCTAAATTAGTTTCAGCTGGGTTCCTTTCACTAGGCGAACTACAAATAAGTATGATAAATGCTATTCCAGGGAGTTGTGGGAAGCATGGAGGATGGACACCTCACTCTGCAGGCAAGCCTGAGAGCACATCATCATCACTCAACACAAAAGACAGAAACCCCAGGGAGATTCTGCTAGTGCCAATGTCTCCTTCATATTATGGTTTTAACCAAGTGCTGGTAAATAACTGGATGGCGCTGGTTAATATATGAGAAATAAAAAAGAAAACATCATTACATCATATGTCGTAGTGCCTATAATCTACCATACGACTTAGATCATCAAACATCAAAGGCAGACATAATGGAACTGGAAAAGAGCAACAAATGAAGGACTGCAATGACAAAGACAATGGGCAGCAATCATTTCAAACTTAGATGGTATTTTAATATTAACAAAACTCAACTGAACTTTTAGAGCTCATGAACGAAGAAGAACAATGTCAGACATTATTACAGGTCCAGCTGTGGTGGTGCAAGAGGGAGGATGCTGCTGTGAGGTTGAGACCACAGGGGAGGTCCAGGTCTGATTCCTCACCCAACCTACATAGGCCAGCCATTGTGGCATAAGCCTGTGACAACAGCTAATGGGAAACGGGCAAGAAAATCATGACATGGGAAAATTCTGTCAAAAAATAACTATTTTTCTCTCTCTCTATGACTCTCAAGCTCTCTCCCTCTCATTAAAAAAAAGTTATGAATTCTTTAAAAATTTAATGTGAGGGACTGGCAGGTGGCATGGTGGGTAAGGCAGCTGCACACCCACATGGCTGACTGCAGTGCATGTCCTAGATCTGGCAGCTTGCTTTCTCACTTTCCTTCTCTCTCTCTCTTTGTCTCTCTCTGTTCAACTTAAAAATAATAAATAAATAAGTAAAATAATAAAATAATGACAGTTAATAAAATTAAATAATTCTTTAAAAAATTTAAAGTGAATATACATTTTATTATGCATAATAAAGTCATCTGACCCCTCCAACTTCCCGTCTGTGCTGAGCCCATTCGAATTGCAGTCATGACCAGGGACAAAATTTTTTTTTTTTTTCCCAAGAGGTTTTTGCTTTAGGGCACGTGTGCTCACCAGACAGACAGAGAGAGACAGAGAGACAGAAAGCAGGAAATCACCCCCCAGAGGGGATGGCCATGCCGCATCCCTTCTCCTTCATTCTCCTCTCGGGATCTTGGGCCACATGCACACGCGCCCCACATGAATTTTAAGCCACCGGGTCTGGGACGCGAACCGTGGTCGACTACATGGGAGTCCAGTGACATAGCCATTATGCTAACTGCTGGTCCCAATGATTTTTGAGCCTATTATGAATACAAAAAGAAAAGTCATTTATTTTAGATGAGGAAGGGGATGTCCTGACAGAAGAAATCCAGTCCTCTGAAACAAAAGAAGTTGAGCCAGAGCTGAGAGAGGACAGGATGTGGAAGCTGAGGAACGACACTACAAAAAAAGGATTATTTAAATGACCTGAACTTTTTTAATTAAAAAAAAGAATAAAAAAACAAACAAACACAAAGATATTTGCTATTGATAAAGCTGACAAAGTTGTAAAGGATCTTGAGATTGAAAGTAAGAAGCATGATATGGGGTAAAGAGGTGCTTTTTAAAAATCATCCACTGACTTCTGTAAAATGCAAGATAAATTAAATTGATCAGAACAGTGATTCTTTAAAAAGAAAACAAGGAAAACAGTAATTTATATATCCGAATCATATTATTTATTTAGTTTACAAACATTTTTTGGAACCAATGAATACATGCAACCTCTTGAAAATGTTTGCTGCTCCCATCCCAATTAAGGGACAAGGTTCATGGGTTTGGAAGTTGGGAATTAATGATAATGATGATGACAACGATAACAATGATGATGATGGCAGCTAAGATATGGTGCCTTACTATAAACCAGGTATGGTGCTAAACACTGTGTAGGTTAGTTTATTCCATCCTCTCAAGGATGCGAGGTAGTATGACTATCTCCAGTGCATAGATAAAGCAACTCAGTTTTAGAAAGGGTAAGTAACTTGTCTAAGGTCACAGATGAGTCTAGCATATAATGTTCAGTGATGTAAGACACAAGAAGTCTGCCATATAAAAACAGACAAAAAAAAAAAAAAAACCAACAAAACATACTTTTAAACTTGAGCAAGTAAAGCTAAAACTATGAGGAGTGAATGTAGACTTTTCCACCAAATTCTCAAACACTAAAATCTAGGAGGCATTTCGAAATACTGAAAAGAGCATTAATTTAATGAAAGAAATTATATTATAATGTGCATGTGGACAATAAACCTAGAAATGTATTTCCTCTAAGAAGTAGCAACTTTATTAAAAGTATGACTGCTTTAAAAGGCAGCACATATAAAATATCTTCCTAAAAGTTATAACTTCAGTCATGTGGGGTCAGATAGTGACAGAGTGGTAAAAGGCAACACCACAAAAGGCTGACCCACATGGGAAGGTTCATGTCCAAAGAACTCCCTGGGTGTGCCCGGGCACTATGCCCATGATCCAGGGCTGGCTGAGGCTGAAGGTGGGTCACAGAGTCAAGACCCTGTTGGAGGTGCTATTTCTCTGTCTCTTGCTCATGGAAGAAATTTTAAAAACTTAAATTCAGCTGTTCAGAGAAGTTCGTGATGGCCTGGCAGTGGAGAGAATGCTGCTTAGGGTCTGTCTCTGTGACTTCCAAGTGGCAATGCACCCTTTCCATCTCTTTGATGTACTCAATCTTAGAGATGGGGCTACACGGGGCCACAAGTCGGTACCAATTTACGAATGATATAAGCTTTTGACAACACTGGTGTTATCATTTCTAAAAACTGGTAAACGAATTATTCAATATCCTACTGCAAACAACATTCTCAACACATGTCGAGTGAGTGGAAACCAGTTGAGAGAATTTATAACTCAGTCAAAAGTCATATCATGATGTGGTTTTGATGATTATTACTATTCATGACAGAGTGCATGCTAGAGGGCATGATGTGGTTTTGATGATTACTATTCATGACAGAGTGCATGCTAGAGGTCGGAAGGTAGAGAGGTGCTGTCTACATGGCTTGGTTGTGCCTCCATCCCCTTCTTCCAGTCCTCCAGTCCCCCAGAATCCTAGGAAAACACACACACGCAAGTGTTTTCAGGCCTACCGGGCAATTGGCTTGAACCACAGTCAGCCTGAGGCTTCTTGCTGCACAGTGGGTATGCTATTGATGGTGCCATAGAGATTGGGCTGTTTTTTGTTGTTTGTTTGTTTGTTTGTTTGTTTCTT